TGTCACTTATATTCCTTGTTATAATCAGTTCTGCATGCCGCATACAATAACGTGTTTTTCCCTTTCAGACACAGGGGTTTGAGGGTACAGTGTCATTTTACTCAGCATCCATAAATAGAACGTGCAGCACGTATCCCCCATGGAGGTGAATGCCTATCATGTTAGCAGGGCTGAGGAGGTGCTAACCTGCTGCTGGCAACCTCCACACTAAACAATACTTGTTACAGAGAAACAAAGAAATTGGATCACTGTTGTGTGAAAAGTGAACTAATGTTATGTGGAGTAAAAGACAAGAAAGTGTAACACAATCTAATGCTTATTGTTGTCAAGTGCTGGTTCCCCTGACAGAATTACATTGCAAGTAATTGAGTAACAAGCATGTCTTCAGTGGGATGTGGTTGATTCAAAATAGGTGCAAATGTCAAACTGAAATATTTAAAATTTTAAATGTTTTTATGTTTTCTCAATTTTCTGTCATGTCATCAATTACAATTTAACAATGTTTTCTGTTTTATAATATATATTAGGCATAAAATCATATGACACCTTTCAGTCAGTGACCTGGTTAGATATTATTATAAAGTTACTGTGTTATATATCATTCTGTTACAGGTTCAAAATGTTTTGTAAAAAATACATGAAATAAAGTAGAAGGCCAAACAGTGCTGCTGGAACCTTTCTGTGTTTCCGTTTAGTTACTGTATATTTCTCGCCATCATAGTGACCCTTTTTATATGACTGAAATACTTAGAAGAGATTTTTTTTTAAATTCAGAACCATCTCCTGGTATTTTACAAAATGTGTTCTGTATATATACCATCAAAAATCCAAACAATCTTAGATATTTTGTTCAACAATTGCAGATATTCAGTTTAATGTCAGTGAGCAAAAAACAGAACACATTCATATTTCTCAACCTATTTGTACAGAATTACTTGTGAAAGTAGTGAAATAACTTTGAACTGTATTAAAATTTTACTTTTCCAAAGTTCTCCACCAAATCATCTGTTTCCAGCTGTCCTTAACCACTACAGACTCCAGACTACAGTGGTTTACAAGATAAAAAATACACATATTAGGCCGGTATCAGTTACAGAAACCCTTGCAATTAGCATAAAGCTAAGACATGTTATTCTCCTGTGTGTTCTTAAAAAAAGTCATTTGCAAACTAAAAAATATCCTAGGGCGCATTGTACGAGCCACCTGAAAAACCACTAACAATTTTGTTTCCCTCCAAAACGCCAGACCAAACAAGAACTCTGAGCGATTTCAGTGAACATTAAGACAAACAGACATGATAACCAATATTAGTCCTGGCTGTATCTCAATGTGCCCTGCAGTCAAACATCTTCTGTTGCTGTGCTTCTTTGAAGCCTGGGAAAATATCAAAGTGCTGCAGGCTGACAGAACTTTGAACAATTAGACTTTGGCTCGGGGACAGAGAAAAAGTCTGACAGCAAGAGGGATGAGAGGTGAGAAAGAAAAAGATTGACAGAACAAGCATGGCCTGAATGCGTGTCTCTTGCTTTCCACATTTTAGGGTTAATGGGCAGCGGAGGATGGGGAGGGGGCACAGGGTACCTCAGTTATGACTGTAGTCAAGCATGACAGCTTGACATGGAAGACCTTATTTGAAGCGTTACAGGAAGAATCAAGACGCGGCCCTTGTGTGTGACGCTAACGTGCAAAGCAATGCAAATTTCAGGAATGTGTTGAAATACAAAAAAAAAATGTAACGCAAGACATACAGTGTGCTGAACAAAAGAGGAGACAAGGCCAGGGTGGATGTCAGAGAGACCTCCATTCATCCCACCTTCAATAGGACTGAGCTTGTCAAGCGGTTATCCACCATCTGACAGACAGAGTGGGTCGGGAAGAGAGTGGTGACGGCAGGGCAGAAAAGGAGAACATTAGGTCTAGCTGCAGCCTGCGCTGAACCTTGTTCCCAGCCAGTACAGGAAATGAAGAAATAGGATAACATCAAAATATGTAAACCCTATCATCCTAAGCACACCTTTCCAAAAGGTCACAGAGAAGCCATTACAGGATGTAACTGTCTACAAGATGAATTAATTTCAATGAAGTCTATTAACAGCTACTGGGATAAAATTATAGTAAAATTAATTCCCAGATGTGTGCAGAAGAATTTGCCAAATGTACTGACAAACAGAACAAGTGGTCTTTATATAAAAAGTTCAGTGTTTTCAAAGCACATTTGTCATTAATACCTCAAACAAGCTGCAGAAATGTACAGCTGTGCCACCCTAGACCTCAACTAAAACATTGCTACAAAAATATTGTACCAATTTTATACAGATTAAGACTTTAATTTAACTGTCAATTTATCATACGACACAGAGTCTG